TTTAAGCTTCAATCTATCTAATTGCAATGAGAGCTGTGCAACCGCTTGTGCTACAAACTCCACTACTTCTTCATCACTTCTCTCAAGGCCAGGACTGATCTGGATGATCCACATACAGTTGTAACCAATTTTCTGATACTCCAATTGTAATCCGAGTCTTCTCTACTTCCATGTACGCTTTCCATTCAAGTCTTCAATCACAACAGATTCAGCAAAATCAAATTTATCATTATTTAGAAAACATCTTGACATCAAGGAACACAGGACATAGGCATGTGTGATTATATCTACGTGCATGTTTCATACCCAAAAATACATTAAACATGCCAATTAAATATGCAACACTCATGCAAGTCAAATCATAGTCCCCATTTTTCCTCCTTATTTTCTACTAATAAACAACACAAAAGTTACCATATCAAAGGACAGCCTAAGTTTAGCTTTCTTTTACATTAACCATGCATATAATCATCTCTAGGAAAACATGTAACAATGCCTATTCATCTTTTGTATAACACAGTAATAAAATAAATATGGAGTTTGAGAAGCAGGTGATTTTACTCTCCCTGGCGGTTTGTAGAAGTATTTTTTTAACAATGTGGCTAACTCCAACATATCATCTTGCTCGTTCATCTGCTGCAGAGACTTCTCAGTCTATTTTGTTTCCTCTAATGACATGACTTATTCAGTACGTATTTACCAATCTTATGCTATCGTCTTTTATCACATTTAATCTGAATTTTTCACCTTTTTCCTGTCTTTTTGTTTTTCAAAGTAACAGGAAAATACACATCAGGCGTATTTCCCTCAAAGAGCATCTTACCCCAAAACTTATGAGGCATTTAACCTCAATTTGACAACAACAATTCCCAAAACTTATTGAGGCATTTAACCTCAGTTTGACCACATACTAAGCATCCAAGTTTTCTGCAGTACCTTCTTACAGTATGGAAGAGAAAGTTAAAACACGAGCATATCCAATTTCACCTGTGGTAGACTCCATGCAAAGCAAAAAACTGAAAATCAGGGTGAATGGCCTGGAGCAGTCTTAGCCAGTTTTCAGCAGCCTTAGTGAGGGAATTTGTGAGTTGATGCTCGCTTACACCATTTGGCGTCCATATTGATCCTTTGAATTTATAAGAAGCCATTCCAAAAGCAGGTAAGGAAACCTTCGGGATACCATCCTGTTCATTATGATAGACTAAAATTAGTGAATGATTACTTCCATTACCTGCAAAAGTCAAATAAAAGGTCAATCTATTGAATCAATTTTAAAGAAAAAAGACAAGAAAAAGAGGAACAAAATACCGTCCGGCCTTTCAAAAGGATGCATTCTGAAATGCAATTCTCAAATCATAGTAGTAGTATTACTGCAACTAAAAATATTCTTCACTGTAATGGCAAAGATGCAGTCACGAAGGTAGGAGTGAACTTTTCAAATTTGTATTTAATAAATTATGTTCTGTATTATATGCTTTTATGATTAAATACATGTGACACCCATGACAAATTAAATACATGTGACACACATGACAAAACAAGCAAATTAGGATATATTTTGAAGGATCAATGGAGAAGAAAATGAGTAGCAAACAGGGGACAAAATATGCCTGAGAATAAGAGCACCGAAGATAAAAAGCATTTCAAACAAATCTTGGAAGATCAAGCTGTAAAGAAGTGAATACATAGATATGGGACTTGAAGGAACCAGTAAATACTAGAACTCTAGTGCCAGAAGCTTATGCCAAGTTTCAATTCACCTTATCAAGGTTTTGATTTTTTGCCTTAAAGTAGTGTGATCTATTATAGGAGTAGAACTTCAAATGGAAATGCAAAAATATCCATGAAAGAAAAGAATAAAGAGAATTAGAATCAAACAGTTCAGGGAAAGAATGTGGCTGCACTAGAAATTAAGCTCATGGAGAGGGAATGGTAAGCTAATGAAATGTTCTTGATTACCTTCAATGGGTGTGGAAAGGGAATGATAGGTTAGAAAGCAAGCGTCCAAATCCTTTAGTGTTTGACCGGTTAGGATCCGGTAAATAGGATACGTACAAGATACGAAAACAACAATACAAGCAAATGAATAATCATATAATACAAGAGTCAATAATTGTAAAAACGTATCAACATTACCATGCAATAGATATCCAACTAATAGGCAATAAGTCACAACTTCTTGATGTCTTCAGCCTGGGATAGCGGCATGCAAGATCTGAAATCTGCAATGCAGTTATTACAGATAAAAATTAGAAGTTAATTCTAAGACAGAAAACTTTGAGTAAATGGGTTAAGAAAACAACTAGCCTTGTCTGCCAAGGGTAGGTGGCAGTGGCAGTAAGGACTA